GCCTGACCTGATGTCACTGCTCTCATAGTGTCAAACCCCACTATGCACTGCCAGCTGAAAAGTAAAGAGCAGACTGCCAAAGTTATTGAACAAACATAGTGAAGCATTTAGTGGACAAAGAGTCTGAATTGTCCTCTCTGAATTTAGGAGACCCACAACAGTTTTAAGAGTTTCATTCACCAAGCTAACTTAAAATGAGTGATACTCTGTTGTTGCTAGTCTTTTAAATATAACTGTTTGCCTGGATAACCACTCTTGAAGGTTCAACATATGTCATAGGATGGGTTCCACACATGCAGGAGTTTATTTGTCAGACTGGTCCTCAAAAATGTACAATGCTGACCAGAGAGTTTTGAACTTGGTTAGGAGCAGGAATAGGTAGCACTTTTTCTTAAAAATCTTATACATTGCATTCATCAAGATAATTTTTGAATCATAACATGTGATTTTGTATTATTCAATATAAAGAACCACAACTGATCTGAGCAATGTGTTCAAAGGATGAGTCAAATGTCTGACTTCTTTGATACAGGTTTTATAAAATGAATATGCTTTCTCAGAGGAAGAGAAAACGTGCAGCATTAGTGCAGCGTTGCATTAGTACACGTTCTACAGGTTTTTCCATCCATATGACTGACTTACCCTTCAGTCAACAGTGGATCCACATAGAACTCACTGTCTCCAGCCACTGTTTGCACACATAATGCGTGACATAAACTTATTTTTCCTCCAGCACTTTCCTTTTTGCTCATAACAAGGTACTTTCACGCTATGACATATCTTTACAAGTTATTACAACAACACATCTAGCTCAATTTGTCAAAAACACAAGAAAAACCTCACTCATTTATATGTAGTTAAGTTTGTTGTCATAATAGAATCAGTTGGTCTTTCGTAGTCCTGAGAAAACATATTACAAATGCATACAAAATATTTTGTCATTTAGAGAAAAGCACTTTTTATGGGAACTGGTCAAATTCAAGATCATTGGGAACTGAAGGGGCTTATTACTGAAAACTGTCTGACCCGTGCCATTTCACAGGAAGGCAACCAACAGCAATTTTAACAAAGTTGCATCGACAAAGACAGCCATTCCCACATTCTAAACAAACACTTCTATTTACTTTAGAAAGCTCGCAAACTAGTGCTGTAAGTGCAGCTCCCTGGGCTCCGGCTGTACACATTTAATTACTTGTGGCTTTAATTAGCTACAGAGCAGGAGGTAGAGCACTCCTCTGACTCTGGCTCTTCCTCAGCCGGCATGTCTACCATGCATTAGCTAACCACACCACTGAGGAAATCCAGCCTGTTGCTGATAAACAGCTGGAATAATTGCCTCTCCTTAAAACATCTGACGAAACCACCAGTCCTCCTTAGAGGTAGCAGAGAAGAATTTCACCAGTGCATCATATTAAACTACAGTAACAACACTACATTTAAATAAAAGGTCTGGAACTTAATTAGCAATTATAAATGCAAGTTAGAGAAACACCAAGCTTTAATATTTAAATCTGAAAACAGATATTAGTTTCAGCTCTATCAGGAACTTAAAAAAACAACCAAAACACTGTTTTTGTTCAAACTGTTGACAAAATATATAATCCAAAGGTTAATTTAAGAAGTCACAAGCCACCTCAGATAAAAGACAAATACATCTGCAGCTAAAAGCATCATAAAAACCCTCACTATGTTTGAGGGTCTGTAACAGCATTAAAGAGTCTATAATAGGTTCCAAATGAAGTGAGACAATCAGAGTGTGCTACAACTAGATTGTGTTGCGATCCTTTTGTGACAGCAGACTCCCACCACTAACTGAAATAAAAAAAACTGCCTTCAACAATTAGTAATTTAACATTTTCAACAAAAAACTTAGGTTGTGAGGAGGGAAGATAGACTTCTTCCAAATGTCATCTCATCTGTGAACAGGAAAAGCAGAGAGTAATAATGTTTGCCTCTGCCAACATTTTAATATTTCTAATCAATGTTTGGCAATATGTTGGCAAACTGAACCAAAAGATGGCGTTTGTGTGTAGCCAACTACGAATACACGAGCAAGGCCAAAAGAATTGTGGCCTTTAATACTACAAGTTGAGAAGCAGTTTCACACAACCTGTTCAAGGTGGGAATGTTATGCCATAATTCTGCATCACCACTCGCAATAAAAGACCAAACAGATGCAAGAGGGATGAAGTGAGGGGTGATGTTTACGTCTGTTGTCCACACTACTCCAGAGTTTTCAAGCATCTAATGTAAAGGTTGGAAACACCTCTGCACCCGTTTGAAAACACCAGGGCTGAGTTTTGATCTGGACAGGCAGAAATGGAGACTTTGGAAACTATAACATAGTCACCCACATTCACTTCCTGATTGAGTCCCAAGCCAACTAACCGTGGTGAAGGAAACGCGTTGCCAACACTTACTTTCAGTTACAGTTCCACCCCCTTGTCAGTCTGAGAGACAAGATCCCATGTCTTACTTTTCACCATTACTGTTTCTCATTTATAATATAGTGCTACGCAACCAAATGCTGACTAAACTATCTGCTTCCTATTAGGCCTGGGCCGATAATCAATAAATCAATTAATCGCACGATAAATTAAAATGAACTCGATAATTTTGCCAGCCTCGATATATCGCCATGTGCATGCGTGTTTGTTTCCCTCGTCTCTCGCCTCCAAGCAGGCTGGATGACAAGAGGGTTCACTCTGTGCTCGGTCTCAGCACCTGGGGGCGTTTGTTGCGGAATGAACGGAGTGAACCCTCTTGTCAGTCATCCAGTCTCTTTGTCTCTGTGGGGGGAGGCGGGGCCKCTAGCATTRGCTMCACACACAGAGTGCAGCAAGTGAGCGTCGTGTGGAGCAACGCGAGGAAGAGAGATGATTGCACAGCCAAATGCCACAGCCCCGGTGTGGGAATGTTTCGGCTCCAAACCGAATGAGCAAGGTGAGGCCATCAACACGGACGAGCCAGTTCAAAAGTGGTGGTAACGAAAAAAGGCAACACAACAAACTTGCATGCCCACCTAAAGCATAACCACCCGACCCAGTGTTCCCAGCTGGGGAAACAAAGTGCACCTCCAGATGCAGAGCCTTCGTCCCGACAGTCAACAATCACTGAGGCGTTCGGTCAACAAAGTAAATATAAACTGAACAGCGCAGAATGGTGTGCGCTCATTGAAAGTGTAGATCGCTACGTCGCAAAAGAAATGCTGCCCTTTAATACAGTTGAAAAGCCAGCATTGAGAGAGATGCTGCAAACGTTTGACAGACAGCACGAATTGCCTGCGAGAAAATACATGTCACAAACGGCCTAAATGTTCAGTATTTATTGAAGTGCAATTTTGTTAATCGAGACTTGATAAGTCATTTTATTTATTGTTTTGGTTGTGTGTGGTTTTATTTTGAGTGCCATTTAATTTTTTGTTTATTGTTTTTTGTTTGTTTTATTTATTTAGGATATTTAAACGTTCCTTAAATTACAATTACAATGGTAAAAAACACTGAGAAATACAAGTTTATTGTCTTTGAAAGGGTGTGCATTATTATAATATATTATCATGCTGACAATAATATCGTTTATCGGCAATATTTCATGGGACAATATATCGTCCAGCAAAATTTGTTATCGTCCCAGGCCTACTTCCTATTTACACCGGCACGCACATGCCCAGTGTACAAGAGGGGTCATGTGACTTGTGTTTTCAGCTATGTTTGTGTGGATGAATGTAGCCTTATTCAGCTTCTACAACAATCGACTGAGCTGCCCAAGTGTCAACTTTTGCTTATGGTGCACTAGAGTGAAACCAAAGTATGGTGAAAGTAATTATAATTTCACATTTTAAATGCTCAATGGCTATGCTACTCTTCCTTAAACATGAAAATTAGTCTGCGGATGGTACGGCCTATTCTCTGGAGAACAGTCATTTCCCAGAGCAGGCCACCTCAGTAGAGGCCTTTTCTAGACCAGACACCAAGACACCACCGTCTCCCATGTACCAGACTTAATTAAAACCAACTCCTATTCATCATTTAAGACATGTTTTACAGGCAGATTAAACTATATTTGTGTGGAAGAAGTCTAAAGGAAAGGTGTTTAAAAAAGCAACTGCTGACGGCTGGTTGTTTAAGTTTTTCTTAACCTAAGTCACTCTTTGGGATGGACAGGTGTTTTTTTAATTCAATTCATCAATTTATAGGATCTTAAAAAGAAGTCTTTATGTACAGGAGGAGAATACCCATTTGTTTCTCTACAAAAGCTGCTCTATTTGTGTATTAAGAGTTGCAGCATAACATTATCAAAATTAAGACTAGATAACTATCAGTAAACTAGTCTGAGAGGCTGTTGTGAAGTCAAATCCCCAACCATTAAAAAAACTCAATGTCAGTGAAACCTAAAAGCAAATCAAACAAATCAAGAGGACAACCAAAACAGACACACTAGCTTTGATCTAATTATAAGCTGAAGACCATTTCACAATTTTTCCCAAATAAATGTAATATCTGAGGAGGTTGCCTGAATTCCTGAGTCGATGTAACCGTTCTGCCACTATTAGCTCCCGTTGAACTGGAAACACCATCTGAACCACATCCTGTGTTTGCATATCACATCACAGACAAATCCTGTGGTGACCGGGGCAATAGGATGGTACGATTGTGGGTGCAGTGTTTTGCATGAGGAGCCTGTACAATATAAATCAAAAGCAATATCGTTTGGTGTTCGATTGAAATATCATACAGGCTTTCTGCATAAGACATTGTGTTTTCTCATTTTATGCACATATATGTATGTGTGGGTGTGTGCATGTTTGGTCTTTAGTTTAACAACAGTACAAGTTAAAGAAGCATCAACAGACATATAGGCTTTCTGCATTATAATTAGTGTTTGCCATTTTATGCACGTGTGTGTGTCAGAGATGAAGTGTCACTGTGCAGCCCTGCCAGTGTGAGTCAGTGTGTGTGAAACTGTTAAAAACATGAGGGCACCATGCAGGCTTTACGTACCCAGCAGGAGCAGCTTCAGCTCCCGTCTCGCGTCTCTCTTGTCTCGCCGGAGTTGCTTCTCGATCTCGGCGTTGATTCGTTTGGACTCCTTCGCCTCTTCACTCAGGCAACAAGCCATCATGGAGTCTAAAGTCATCACCACATGAGCTGAAAAAGCCCGTCTGACAGGGGGGGCGCCGGATACACCTCACACACAGTACCAGTTAAATTAAGAAAGAAACCCCGACTCTGAGCAACAGTTAGCTTTGAATTCCTTCTATTAGACACTGAAGACCGATGCTTGGTAGACTCGCTGCAGAATCTGGCCTTTCCTCGTTGAAGGTAAAACCGCTGTCAAGTGTCAAATATTTGACAGCTTAGTCAAAGTCTTGTGTAAATCCTCAGGCTACGGGGACTGACAACCGACCACAGACAATGTGCAATGCAGCATGTCCAAAACGAGCTCAAATAACCACATTACTCCACGCACTTTCCACAAAAGCTGTTATTAGTCACTAAGCTAAACGCTGCTAATGTTACCACCAGGCTAGCGTGACAAGTTGATGGGTTTGTAGAGTAACAACACTTGTTTTTAAAAAATATCTTTCGCGCGTAAGAATGACACTCGTCAAAATTACGGGTTTTTATTTCAATAAACTACCGGCTTCGGTCCCAGACACAGTGGGACACAACTGGCTGCCACTGCCACATTTGTACAATCCCTCCTCCGCTGGTCGCCCGGCCGAGCACAAGCCTAGCCGCCCCGAAACTAACGCCGTACGCCCGCGCAGTGACGATGAGCGCCCGTCAAACTGTCCAACCACCGAACCCACGGAAAGACTATCCCACCGTCCGTGGCAGTCGACGGACACTGTAGCCCCACGACCAGCCGAGTGAAAAGCACCGCGCTCAGGGGCGGGTATCCTCCCGCAGACTCAGGCTCCGGTGGCCAGGGTAGCTAAATGGACAGGCTAATTGTTAGCGGGCTAGGTTAGCTCAGCTAGCCATCCCTGGATTTGCAGCAGACTGGCTGAAGCAGAAAAGCACAGGGCTCGGCCTGACGGAGCAGCTCCGGCGCATTTATCTAGACTTCTCCCAAACAGGCCCCCAGGACCAGACCCTGTAAAACGCGGAAAAGGGCGTCTCACTGGCGGTCAAATGGAGCCATGTAGTCCGTGCAGTTTACGGCTCCTGGTGTTTTTTCCTGGTGGTGGTGATCGCTCCTCGTCACCCACTCCTTCTTCAGCCCCGGTGTGGCGCTGCTGCTGACGTCGCTCGGGATATGATTGATTGACGCGGGGAGAGCGAATGAAAGTGGCGCGTGTGGGCGTGGGGGGCGGGACTTTCCCACAGCATGGTTAACTTCCCCAGTTTGCTTGAGAGGAAGTCTTCCTTCTGGAGGCGTGTCGGCCACCAGCGGCTGACATTTGACTGGACGGGCAACGCCCATCTCCTGTCAAAGACCCGATCATCCACACTGGAGGTGCTCAGGTGGCAACCTGGCCCCCCCCCCTTTGATTAAAAAAAAAAAAGATAATCAATTTCATTTATTAATCCATTAAAGTGTTTTTATTGTTTATTGTTTATAATTTCCATAGTTTTGTTCTTATTTTTCACATCGTGTTTAGTGTGTGATACATTGCTGTTGTAACATAGCAATTTTGGGTTCAATAAAGTACATCTATCTATCTATCTATCTATCTCTGTCTATCTATCTGTATGTCTATCTGTCTGTCTGTCTATTTATCTACTTATTTCAGTTACTTTATTATACTGTTGGATGGTTAGGTCCATTATGTTTTATCATATTATCTGACCATGAACGGTTAGGTTAGCTTTAGTATTTAAAATAAGTTAATGCAACAAAAGCTATGAGAACTCAATGTAAAATTACTAACTAATACTACTCTCTCACAAACTAGAATGGTACCCAAAAGAGCACATAACTTCGCAAGGCCCAACAGTCCTCTCAAATTCAAAGCTGTACCAAACTTTACACACTCATAGATATCAGTTCTTTAAAGGTGCCTGTTTATTTCATCATGAACCATGAAATATTTCCTCAGAAAACTGTGAAAATTGTCTTCTCTTGGTACTGCCCCTCATCATCAGTCTCTCTGTGTGTGTGTGTGTGTGTGTGTGTGTGTGTGTGTGTGTGTGTGTGTGTGTGTGTGTGTGTGTGTNTGTGTGTGTGTGTGTGTGTGTGTGTGAATGTTGTCACTGATGACGGTGAATCTCATTTAAGCAGTCAATATATTGTTGGGAACTTTAATGTGAAAGACTGCATTATATTGTGCGCCCGATTATAATCTTCATCCACAAATAAATGTAGTGGAGTAAAACACACAGTATATCTCTTAGAAATGTGGAGAAATACAAGTTTGAAGTAACAGATGAATAAAATAATAGACCAGAAGCCTGTTAAAATTGTGCTGAAGTGCAAAACTATAACTTGTACTTGTACGTGTTTACTTTCCTCCAGCAGAGTGAATATTTCTAAGAGAATGAGACAGAGCAGTTAGATGATGGTGATAATGATCGTTGGCATCTTCATCCATGTTAAAATAACAACTCTATCACTGAGTAAATTCTTCTCATGTGAATGAGCTGACAGGCAATCTTGTTGAGCCAAGTGACATCTTGTGGACATGTGGTGTAGTTGCAAGCCTGGAGTTCAATAGGACACTTAAAGGATTGCAGTCATATTTTCTTTGCCTTGTACTGAAAGTAACGATCTCTTCTCTTCAACACTTAAATAATTAGATCTAAGGAAAGTTGAAAAAAGTGGCTGCTTTTTGCAGTTTTCAAGTATGACATCCTGATGCTCAAATGCCACACATTGTTGGTATGTTTGGTATGATGAGGAAAAAACTCCAGACATGACTCATGAGGTTTCAGCCTGACCTGCCTGCCCACATCTCTGGAGGCTGTGAGCTGCAACTCCTGCCACAAGACTCCACCCACAGAAGTGACTAACATCCTTATTCAGTCACTCTGGATCTGCGGAATCATTCAAAAAGCAGAAACTTGCATTTTATATTCAGTGTCAAGGAAATACAATATTTGCAGTAATCATATACAACAGACTTAAACCTGACTTCAAAAGGTAGAGTCATTAAACAACATTAACTGAAAATGGAAGTTAAGGATGTGTAGCTAGTTCAGTATGGGGATTTTCTTATTTCCCCTTTTGAAATCATATACAAATTTTAAATTCTACCAAACATGAAATGCATTTTCCAAACAATAATGTCGAAAAGTCTTGTTTTAACAATTGTTTATTAAACACTACCAGGATAGCAACACTTTGCATTATCCATGTGTGTTCATTTGTTGTTTGAAGTGATGTTAACATGAGAGGAAAGCGCGTCCCAGGGTCTGATTGCTGTTGTCAGATTAATTATTGATCATCCTCTGTTTCCCATACCAGCCGGTGACAGGGGACAAAGTCTCCTCCGGTCCCCTACCTGCTGGTCTCCCTGCTGCTTGTAAGCATCCATCAAGAGGAGAGACAAGTCCTACAGGCCCTGCAGATTTCTGTAATGCATTATATCTCTCTATAGAGATTCAGCTTCTGTATTTAAATATTTTAAATGAGTCATTCAAATATTATTATTTTGTTCTTGGATCTTCCTTTGATCTCATTGTTACTTCCATATTTTTACAGACATATATACATAATCAAAATATGGACAAAGGAATAAAATAGAATAGAATAGAATAAAACAAGTGTATAAAATGTTTATGAATTACACAGTTTGTCCTATCTCCTATTTGTTCACAATATGGCTTCACCTCCACCAGCAAAAGAAAACATCAAACATCCACCTGTCTGTGACTGGAAGGATCTTCGTCACTGTCACAACGGAGTGGGTAATGGGGATCTAAATAAACTGTAACCAACCTGGAAGGATGTGGCAGATAGTTTTCTGTTACAGTCAGTCCACACCCATTGGATTCCCTCCCACTCTTCTTACTTTCTTCTTCTTTTTTCTTGTCTCCCTTTAATTTCACAGACACAGAAAAAGAAGTTACTGAAAAAAGAATACTGTAGCATTATGCTAAAGGCCTGTTCATATATGTGCCTTGAGTACAGTTTTATTTTAAGGTGATACTAACTACTGCTGAGTTGTTTACATGTATTGTATTTGATCTTCATTTGCAAAGGAACAAGAGCTGTAGCACAAATCCACTGGAGTAAATGTACAAAATCAATGAACCAGGACCTTCTAAATTCACATGTAGAATATATGATGTTTGTTGACGCCTGTGTAACTTGTTGTACTGTTGTAAAACACACACACACACTCCTGTATACCACATGTGACAAGAAGGCGCCTTGTACAGGAATAACAGCTGTAACTTAAATCCATCATGTGAAATGAAATCATTACTCAGCAGGTTTGTAGTAAACCTTGATAAACTCGCTGTACAGTATAACTTGCAGTAACATGCACACCTCTTTCACTCTTTCACCTCACCTGGTTCCCATGGCAATGCAGTGCTCATTATGTGACACCATGAGAACCTGGACAAACCTGTTCTGCTGGCTGAGACAAACAGAATAAAGGGAGAGGGAAGGACAACAAATACCTGTTGTACACTCGGTAAAAGAACCTGCTGCCACATTAACACTGCTTTCATGAAAGTGTCATTTCTTCTGGTGTTGTGACATTTGTCACAGTTATGTTTCCAATGTGATCAGTTGATTGAGATTTCAAATCGTGTATAAGATAAGAACAAAAATCATTTTATAAAAAGTTTAAATCGAGTCAAATCAGAGTCAAATTTCATTGAGGAGTAAAACTTGTGCGTGAGAGTGAATTCACTGGAGCTGAAACTAGAAGCAGGGGGCCCGAGGCTGCGAGCGAAACTTTACCCGCAGCGCAGCGCAGTGTCCTGATTCATTACAAGCAAATCACACGCAGTTAAAGAAAGACAGCATCCGGTATTACTCTTCCACAATAAGACCCCACAATTTTATTTTCCAAAGTGACAAACAGTAACATAAAGCAGGGTTCACATGGAGCCACGTCCTGCACAACACTCGGCCACAGACATAAGCTCATATATTATTTGCTGTCATATGAGTTAGCCTTCTGTGCACCTACAGCTCTGTGTATTCACATCATGCAGCTGCATGACTCATGAAATACTTATTTACCTTGGAACAATGCACCTGAGGAGTGGTGCAGTATGAACAATGAATCATATATCATGGTGCAACAGAACAGTGCAGCACTAAACGGTTTGGAATTATCTTGTAAAGCATGTTGCACCTTTGATCACAATATTATTATGTCACAGAAACCACAGGTTTCTGTCAGATTTATTTTTCTCTGTTTGTTCCAAAAGACTAATACGTTTGCAAAAGCAGCTGAAATACATGTGTTTCAAGTGGACTAAATAAGGATAGTGTTAGGTTGATATGAAAGTGCCATTTGTTGATAAAAAATAATGATAATGATAATAGTTGTGTAGAAAATAGCATGTATGTTACCTTTCAAGTTATTGTCTAGATTGAGAAAGATATTAAAAAATAACCCACATCGAAACATAATCTATGTAAAGGTAAATAAATTCATCAAAAATAACATAAATACATATGATGGTGTGCAAAATGCACAATCAAAAGAGTAAATACTTGGAAAATAGGTGAGAGACATATAAGTTTGCATTCCCCCATTCGATGATTATGATTAGTTCTTTGCCAGTTTTGACGCAATGTTGTTAAAGATGGGAGTAATTATATTAACTACCATAATTTATCACACATGATTTCATTATATATGAACAAATGTTTTATGTGTACATTTTAAACACACAATTGAAGTAAACAACACATTACTTCCCATTGAAATAGTGACAGAAGTAAAAGTTAAAATAGCAAGTGTCAACTGTATAGTCAGGTAAAGTAGGTGACAAGTATCACAGAAATAATATAAATGAGACAGTGAAACTAATACTAAACAAAAGTGGCAGTAAGTAGTAATGATAAAAGGAGTAAGTTATGTGGGATATTACACGATATTGAAATATTGAACAAAAATTGCACATTATAATAAAATAATAACACATAAAAAAAAGAAAAACATTATAATATTGCACAATTAAGTTGTTAGTAGTGCACCCCATGAGGAAATAAAAGGTACTTTAAAGACATATTAAAACATGTCTAAGCAAAATCCATCGATTTACTCCACTTGTGTATGTTAAATGTACGAGTAATGTCCAAGAATGGCGTTAAACACTAACAACATGCTCTTATTTCATTCGCGATCCATGCCTCATTTCCGGCGCTGTTGCGGTAACTTGCCGCTCCTCCTGCCGTCGCGTCGCCCAGAGCGCATTCCAGGTACAGTGACTCTGCCGCGCGCCACCGAGGCTGCGCATTCCTCTGTAGGCGCGGTGAGGTTTCCAGAGCAGACTGCCGCTGCTGCTCGACGTGAAGAGCTGGAAACTACACAAATGCTTTAACAGAGGATCAGTGCGGGTGTGATGACGCCGTGTGCGCGCTTCAGCCACGGTGTGTGTGGACAGGGGACACGGTGAGAAATGGAGAGTGGAGCTGCGCGCAATCAGGGCGAGTGACGGACTGACAGGAGGTAAGAAGCTGGATGTCTTCTGTCTGTAACTCCATCCAGTTCACACTGACTCAGCTGACTTCAAAGTGAATTTAGTAAAGTTACCAAAGCTCAACTCTGACCTGTTGACATAGGCAGTGATTGTGTTCACAGCGTCAGAGGAAACTCTGCTAGAATAAAAACCTATGGCCGAGGACTGGACCCTGCACGGCAGCTTGGTTTTATTGTCAGTCCTTATCGGCTCATTACAGCTGAGTATTCATTAACAGTTCGGTGTCAGTGGCTGTGGCCATGGCCTGCTGCTGGCAGTGGTGCTACCGCACCTGTGTGTGCCTCCTGACCGAGGAGGAGAAGAAGACCCTCACTGTGCACAAAGAGATCCAGAGGATCCTGAAGCAGCAGAAGAAGAAGGAGAAGAAGGAAGTTAAAGTCCTGCTGCTGGGTCAGTGACTGCACACACACACACACACACAATAATTATTATTATAATTTGAGACTGTAGAAACAAGAAGTGCTAAGTCATTTGCATTGACTTATATTCATTGTGGACAACCATAACCAATTCATTCATTGGAAACCTGAACCTTAACCTAACCACAATTCACATTTTATCTGTAACCCTAACCTTTGTAAATGAAGTTTAGCCTCATAAGGTCCTGACAACTCAGTGTTTATGTTGAAAGAGACTCAACAATACAAACAGCATTAATTAAAGAAATGAAAGGAATACAATTTTCACTCTAGAGTTGCCCGCATCCGAAAACAATGTAAAGCATGTGTCACCATGTGAGTATTTAAAGAATGGTCCAGATGAGATTGGTTATACCTGAAAAACCGCAGTGACTGTGGAGATGCACCGCCCAGGAGCCTTCAGGCCGAATTTTCAGCTGCTTTAATGACCTCACACAGACCTGTGGTTGAACTGAGAAAAAATGTTTGAAACTACTTTACCACTTAACCAAGTAATTACTGAAAACTTTGGGACATTTTACTTTTTACATGAAACATTATACTTATTTTCTTCTTTTTTTAATAGTAATTTACAATATAATTTATGGTTAAATTGTAAATCATTAAGCCTCAATCACATTTCTTTTTCATGAGGGTTCAGAATTTATATATATATATATATATATATATATATATATAAATTGGCAATGATCACACCTTGTTCCTATTTTGTTGTTTTGGTTTTAGTGTTCAGTACCATTTAACTGCATAAATAGAAAGATTGCCTTGTTGAAATTCAACTGTTGGTGTCATTAGATGTATTTTCAGAAGAAATCACTGCTACATCTAACCCTATAGACAAGTTGAATTATAATCTCGGAGTTTATCTATCGATTTAAATTTGGCCAAACCTTTTTCACAGTTGGCAGGTGACAAGTTGACTTTTTGTAGCAGGACATTTACAGAACCAAAAACAATGGTGGTGACTCATTAGTCTCATCAACTATTATTGTATTTTAATGCTGTGATATCTCAAAATGGGCTCTCTTCATTATATTAAAATGAGAAAATGTTTGCTTCTACTGAAAAGCAGCTGTAAACAAGCTGTAAACTTAAAAGGTCCAGTGTATTAAATTATAATATTTAAAATTATGTTTTCAGTAGTGTATAATCACCTTAAACTAAAAGTCGTGTTTTCTTTACCTTAGAATGAGCCATTTATATCTACATCAGGAGCAGCTCCTCTTCCTTTGAGTCTTCCATGTTGCCCCACCATGTTCTACAGCAGCCCAGAAAGGACAAACCACACTCTGGCTCTAGAGAGGGCCTGTCACATGTTAAATATAATTTCTCATACACACTTTGAAGGGGAGGGTCATGCAAGTGATATTTTGTTGGTTGCCATATGCAATTAAATCATACACACTGAAGATTAAACATATTATCACTAACTGTGAGCAGGTTAAGAACTGATTTGGGGACATGTCTCTGGCCACCAGACTTAAAGGGATAGTTCACGCAGAAATGAAAATTCACTCGTCATCTACTCATCACTTTGCAGATGGAGGGGTGGGTGAAGTGTTTGAGTCCACAAAACATTGCTGGAGTCTCAGGGGTAAACAGTGGTAGAGTAAATGGTGACCAAATCTTCAGACATAATAAAACAACAGAAAAAACACAACATGCCTCGTCATATTCATCACACTGGATTCTGCTCTAACACTGTTGGGAACTATCCATTTAGGTTCAATATTCAGTCTCCTTTTAGCTCTGTTTTGGTCTTTTCTGGCTACTTATCTGTTAAATGCTTTGCTATGCTCACAAGGTAACACTAATATTGTTTGTCTGCTGTTTAGTGCTGGACAGTTCACATACAAACTGTTCAAACTGCTGAAAACAGGGTTGATGAGAGCATGGAGACAAAATGTTATTGTTGCAGAACATAAAACCAAAATAGTGAGCTGGAAGAGGCTAAAATGTTTTGTAGAGAGTTGAGTAAAAGTTGGTAGTTATCTGTAGGATAGTCACTCTCAGCTACACCTTAGTTTTTTGATCCAATGTTAGCTGAGCAATATTGTTTAGAGCAGATTTTAAGTTAATTACTCAATCTACCAAGCAGGCTCCAGATCAGGGGGCAGACCAAGGGATTTGTTTCACTTTCGTTAACATTGTGCAATAACCAGGCATGTTTAGGGGACTGGTATCTGTGAGTGTGTGAAATTTGGTGCAGCTCGATTTAATTTATTTGATTGTTGGGCATCAGAGGAAGTGCTCAATTTTTTTCAGATCAATTTTTAGAGGCCAGTTAAATCTGGAATATGATATTATTTAGACTCAAAAAAGTAGAATCCAGACGTGAGGTTCCTCTATAGAAAAAACTTAGACTGAGTTTCAGTGACCGTTTTTTAAATCCACTGTTATCTGTCCATTTTATAAATCACCTATCCACACAAGGTCCAAGGCAGCCAGACACACACACACACACGTGCACCAAAAGGCACATTGAGTTTTCAGATCACCTACTCTGCATGTCTTCAGTCAATGTGGACACAAACTGTTTTAGCTGTGCTGCTAACATCTGTTAATAGAATCATAACAATAATATGTGATTTCGGTAATTTCATCTTTTGTTGGTGCAGGAACCGGGGAGAGTGGAAAGACCACCTTCATCCGACAAATGAGGATCATCCACGGACGCGGCTTCTCAGAAGAGGAGAGGAAAACCTTTGCTAAATGTATCTTTCAGAACATCTTCACGGCCATGAAGGCCATGACCAGCGCCATGACCACACTCAGAATCCCCTACTCGAACCCAGAGAACGAGGTGAACACCAGCAGCGTTACCGGCATCACCATGTGTCAAAGAAGCAGACGTAGCAGATGACAAATTTTGTTTAGTGCCTACATTAAACAAGACACACCAAACACACACACACACTCACTCTCTCTCTCTCTCTCTCACACACACACACACACACACACACACTTACCATGTTGTTGTTCTTAAGTAGAAATATAACCATTAACACACAAACTGAACTGGTGAGCAAGCAAATAAAGAGGGGCTAATTACACACAAAATTGCTGTTGCCCCAAGGTGCAAATCACATCGACAAATGGGAAAACACAAAACACAGCATATCACAAAATACAGTAAAATCATACTGTATGGCTTATTATCTTTATGTTAAAAAGACGGACAGTGCATTCGTCCAATTAGTGTTGATCCTTGTCAACAGGTAGCAGGAACCTACATTTTTAATGTCATTGTTTTCTTATTTGCCATTGTGATTTTGTGTGGTTGTTGTTTTCTTATTTGGTTTTGTGTTTTTGCATCTATCACTGTGATAACTCAGGGCCATCATCGAAATGTAACAGGTGCACTCAGGAGTTCAAAGAGTTGAGAGTCTCTCACACACACATCAGTATGTGATGACATCTTCTCTTGCTGTCTTTCAGATGTTTGCGAAGTGGCTGCAGGATGTAAACACAGTGCAAATCACCCAGCTGGAGCGGGGCTACGTCGAGGCGATTCGCCGCCTCTGGGCAGACCCGGGCATTCGTGTCTGTTACAGCCGCCGCTGCGAGTACCAACTCCTGGACTCCACAGAGTAGTGAGTACAGCTGCTCACGACACCGCACCACACCCTGAGTCAGGGCTGGGAATTTGAGAGTGTCACATGTTGAAACATTGTCATAGCAAGTTGCCAGAGATGATATCACTATACAAGAATCTATGATGGGCAGGAGACAATATCGGCGAGACACCACATAACAATGCCTGTGAAAAAAGAAGAAAACACACCTGTAACACACCTGGCTTAATATACTTGATCAAAAAGCAGAAGTCATATTATTCTGTAGTGCAAAAGAGAATATGGTATACATACTGTATTTTAGTTTGATCTAATTGTTCACAAAATCAACTGGACACTTCACCATGATGATGGTATAGGTCAGGGAAGAGGCCGTCACATTTTGTTGTAGATCCAGGAATTTTATTTAGGGTGTTTATATAAATATGTTAACTGGATCTAACACAAACAGAGATGATCAAAAGAGCAATTAAATAAAATTAATTAACGTGTGCACGGATGCATAATCAGAGAGTAGGTTTTGTTTTGTGTCAGCCAGCGTAGAACCTATTTATTAAATGATTAAACACAAAAGTATCTGTATGGCTAAACAGCACAAGGCATAACAACATGTTTTCATTTTACCGGAATAGAAAACAGGTATAAAACAATAACGACCCAGCACAACACATAAGTAGCTGTGGTAAAGAAACAACACCACTTTGGAAACAATCTGTCCGTTTGATAAAACCTATATATGTGTATTTATAAAAACGTTTTTTTTCTTGCCATTGAATCACAATAGAACATGTGGCGACATATTGCTGCATCGTTACCACATGTGACCTTTGTACCATAACTCAAAAAGTGGAAGTGCAACAAAGAGACTTCGTTGAATTAGCTGTTTTAAGCTCTTGCTCCTCTCACTGCTGCATGTTTACAGTAAGAAAAACTGACCTATTAAGGGATAAATCAGTTTAGAGATTGATTAATCAATCAAGCGACGGACAGAAAACCATTGGTCAACAAGATTTGAAAATCAAATGATCACAAGACATTTATGAACATCATTGGATTCTTGATGGGATTAAACAAGGGCTCTAAGAAATGATGGTTATTTCCACTGTTTTTAGACATTTTATTGACCAAATAACTGTTGAAATAAAGAAGAAAAAAAACCCAGATTAATTGATGATAGAATGATAATAAACGGTAGATAGAAGGATAGATAGATAGATAAATCTCTTTGTTATAGCAGCAACATGTCCTGCTGTAAAATACATAAAATATAAGAACAAAACTGTACAGAATATAAAGAACTAAAAATAAAAAGAATATACATAATATATATTTATAGAATGCAATATACTTTTAATGAATTATTCAAAATCAATTGTGTTTACTATTTTCTTTTTTTACCTGTTTCAATATTTTCTGATACACATAATAAATGTTGTCTTTGTTCAAATCCTTGCTTTGTTACTGTAACACTTATATTCTGTAATCAGACCACAAGAGGGGGCTAACTCTTCACAGACATCACAATAATTATTCATTTCTCTGCCGTGTTGAAACCTGCAGTTGACATATAAGAGTCTTTTGAAGGGGAAATATTAAAAAAATGAGCCAAGAGACAATAATAGTGTCAGTGAGCACCACAGCGTCAGCGGCATGAAAAGATTAAACACAGCGAGGGTCTGAGGTATCAGAGAACAAAGCCTGGGCTCAGCCTTCCTCCTCTGTGTTCTCTCTTTTCCACTGCTGCTCTGTGTTTACCCAGCAGCTCAATCATTGTGGAGTGAGCATGATAAGAGACGTCCAGTCAACATGAACTAATGACAGCTTGTATCAACACGAGCCGTAAGGCTGTCATCTGTCCACAGGTTGATATGGACTCCCCCCACTCCCTCCTTGTATTTTTAATCACTGTTTTTCTTCAGCATCACTAATTCATCGTACTTCATCTCACTTCAGTTTGTTTCACATGGGCCGCGCTGGATGTGACATAATCACAGTTTGTTTTACTCATCTAGGGTCAGTAAAAATATTTTTTCTATCCCACCTCCCTCTCTTTCAGCTACATGAGTAATCTGGACCGCATCGCCGTCCAAGAGTACATCCCCACAGAACAGGATGTGCTGCGAGTTCGATTCCCCACCACGGGCATCCACGACTATTCCTTCACCATCAAGCCCGTCACGCTAAGGTGGCTAATCCTCAGGTCACCAGTCTCTCACAGGGACAAATCTAAAACGATACTATTCATTGCTCTGTGAAAAAAAAAAACTCTATTGACTCTGACAGAGGCCTTGTCTGCTCGCGCCTGTTTGTAGGATCACATTTCTCATCACCTCTGTAAAGAGCTCCTGCCGGGAAGTGAGGTGGCGCTCTGCGTGTTTTACTGGCAGAGCGAAACCAAACTTACTGGAACAATTAGAACTCAAATATACAATAATCTGATACAAACTACCTAAAATGATTTGATGTCTACTTTGACTTTTTACTTTGGTCCATGTCTCATGTGCTAACATGAAGGAAGCAGAGTTTATGACCTATACTACAGCCAGCCACAAGGTGGCTATTGAGACAGTTTGGCATAACTTTTGGGCCTATGTGTTTAAATATTGAATAAGGACATATTGGTTAGGCATACCTCCTCCTAATGTTCATGATATTTCCCCTTGAAAAAAATTAAATCTTAAATTAAGTTTCAATTCAAAAACATTTCCTGGTTTCATAAGTAGTTTTTTATTTGCTTTCACTCAAATTTAAAGAAGAACCTCCATTGCAGTTTTTTATGTTCTTACTTAAGAATATTTCAAGGTTTTTCTGAGACATCAAACAGTGACTGGAATTTCAAAAGGTCTGACATTCAGTTTTAATTTGAATGTGTTTGTATCCATGAAAACTGTGTAATGATCATAGAGTCAAGGCTTCTTGTCAAATCTGAGATACTTCACTAAACCAGTAGAAAATATGTGTCAGTCTAAATAATTAGCTGCTGCTCCGTACAGCTGCTCGGTGTGCTAATTGAAACAGTATCAGTGTAAATATGAAGACTTCTATTGTTTTCACAAACTGCTACTTGCCCTGACACCTACTTATTCCTCTGCTGTGGTCCCTGACAGGATTGTGGACGTGGGCGGTCAGAAGTCAGAGCGTCGGAAGTGGATACACTGCTTTGAAAATGTCATCTCGCTCATCTTCCTGGCCTCCCTAAGCGAGTACGACCAGGTCCTGGAGGAGAGAGATGACATAGTAAGATCCTGTTTGTGTGTGTGGGCTTTTTGTCTGTGTCCCTCTGTCAGTCCACCACTGCAGAATGTGAGCAGATACCTACCCACTTACATACCCTCTACCCACCTACCCACTTACCCGTCTCCCTCTCTACCTACACCTACCTACCTGTCTCCCTACCTACCTACCTACCTACCCATCTTCCTACCTACCTACCTACGTACCCACCTACCTACAAACCTACATACCACCTACATACCCTCTACCTACCTAGCTACCTACCTACCTACTACCTACTTACCTACATACCCTCTACCTACCTAGCTACCTACCTACCTACTACCTACTTACCTACATACCCTCTACCTACCTAGCTACCTACCTACCTACCTACCTACCTACCCGCCTCTCTGTCTCATTCACCAATACTGTAATATACAAATACTAAATTAACATCATTCAAAATTTTGATTTGCAATTGCATTGTCTATCCATCCATCCAACTGCAGTCATTTCATCTGTCCACCAGTAGGTCTCACCCTTGTACAAGTAAACCTCTCTCTCCCTATCTCTCTACTCCCTGTCGTCTCCTGTCCACTTCCTCCCTCCCATCCTGTCGCTTAGCCTTTTATCTCTCCCAGCCACTTTTCAGTCTCACCTCACCTCCCCCAATAAACTCCCCCTTTTCTTACAAAGGACTGCTTCCTCTCTGTGCATCAACTGTGCCATCTGAATCTACCCAGCCACCCTGGGGGCCAAGTTAAACTCAATGTCTCAAACACTTTAAAAACAATAAAATCCCCCCCAACAATGAGCACAATGCCAAAGTTTAATGACGCATTGATGCTGCCTCCAGTATGATAACTGTCTCCCTCTCTGTCCCTCAGAACCGAATGGAAGAGAGTCTGGCTCTGTTCTACACCACCATCCATTCCCCCTGGTTCCTCAAAACCTCCATTATCCTCTTCCTCAACAAGACTGACATCCTGGCTGACAAAATCCAGACCTCCGACCTGCAGAAATACTTCCCCAACTTCACAGGTAAACTTGTTTCCTATATAGTGAGGTTAAGTAATAAGACTTGTTGAATAAACCAGTTAAGTGGTGAACTAATTAGTCGATTGTTCAGAAGTCTGACTAATGGCTTAGATGTGAAAAATAATGATTTTTTTTGTTCCAGCTTCTTAAATGTGAAGATTTGTTGTTTTCATTGTGAACAGTTGGATTTTCAATTTCAGACTTAACAAACAATTAAGCAACTCATGGGTTGCCATGAAATCTGGTACACGCTCATAACCTTCACAGGATGAATTCCAGTATCTTTCGTGGTTTGTTAGCTTTTCTTCCAGCACAATTTCAGACACTTTACTTTGGTTGGGATATAAAGAACTGTAGCAGAATACGGGTCTGAACACTGACAATAGGGTTTATCACCATTGACTGTATGAACACATGGCAGTTACCCAACAGTAAAGCCAAAGAATCGCGATTGCCCCCTTGTGGTTGGCTGCAGTATTGTTTAATAAACCCTACCTCCTCCTTTTAGATAATGAAACATGTCAAAGTAAAATGCTGGTGTTTGTTCAAAATGTTTGTTGTTGTCTGATAAAACAACGATTGTGATGTTGCTTTCTCCAGCCAGTTTGGTTTGAGCATGCAGCTTTCTGATCACATCCTATTGCATCCGATGCAAAATAATGCATCATTTCAAAAAGTTTATTTGCGTGATTTCTGTCCTGGAAAACGTTTTCCTCAAATTGGTGTCCTGGTGTCAGGAAATTGATCAATTATTGTTTTTTTATTATTGTTTGTTTGAGTCTTTTCTTTTCTCCCTCTTTCTTGTGAATCTACACACATAAATTGCACAAATGTACACACACACACACACACACACACACACACACACACACAAATGAGTCACTTCCAGGTACTCGGTGTGCTTAATGATGTGGCTGCAGCCTGTAGCCTCTGTGGTGTGAAAGGCTGTTCAGCGGCACCCTAACAGTCCCCACCCCCCAGACCCTCTACCTCCATCCTCTCTTCTTCTGTTACCCATGGCAACTACAGACAGATAACGTGCTTCCTCCAAGCCCTGCAGCCCCTTACCCTCCCACACCTCCCAAACCCCCAGGTGCACGTGTGAATATGTGTGTGCAAGGTGGGACTGCAAGTGATTATTAGTGTGTGTGTGTGTGTGTCTGTAGTGTGCCCACCATGTTTTACCATTATCTTTAGCAGGGTAAAAATAATGACTCATACAGGGTCAAGCTCCTTGATGTCAATTTAACCTTAACACTAGCTCTGAGCCACTCCAACCACTGGCTGCTATTTGTCGCTAGTCTCACCATGTTCCTGTGTGGAGACAGTGTGGCCCTTCTCACTGCTGCTGTAGCTTCACTTGAATGCTCCTGATGTTAATTAGTGAGAAATGTGGTGATTTGGACTGCAGCACAAAACTGATTTGTCAATTCAATGATTGTGTTGACAAAAAGTTGTTTGAGTCGTTTAAGGAAAAAATCCAAATCATAATTTCCAGCTTTTCATATGATGGATTTTCAACTCAGTTAAATTAGTTACACCATGGAGGCTTTGTTATCTGCATTTGTTTTACTGATAAGGATGCAACTAACAATCAGATCAGATTATGTTAAACTCACCAATGCCCATATAATCTATTCTGATATCTTATTTTATTTACTCACAGTCCAATACATAGAAACATTCTGTTTATGATCATATGTGATGCAAACAATATGACTGCTGAATTGATAATCAAGAATTGATAATCAAGAATTGATAATCAAGAATTGATAATCAAAATAGTTTACTTTTTTTTCCCCATTCAGTTGAATTTTTCTCTTTGGGTTTGTTGAACTAACATTTATGTGTTTTGGCATCAGATAGATTAATCAATTCATTTAAAGAGTGATAACTTATTAATGCTACATAATTATTTGTTGCAACCATAGACTGTCTTTAATGACGGACGGCTTGACAACTGCAAAAAGTTAAGCCAAAGTGTCTTGGTCTCCACCTAGTGGCTGACTGCAGTATAACTCATAAACCCTTTTTTTTCTCAAAGATGGTTTCTGTCACTTTAGATGGTTCTTATCACGATGTTTCATGAAATACATTCATGTGGCTCGTAAGTTGTGTGAAAAGTCAAGATTGACAGCTGAGACTGACTCACGATTGGTCAGTTTAGTTTATCAGATCCATCCGCCAATAGCTACTACATAGATTCTAGCTCTGAAATGCACAGTGTTTATAGCCGTATATTGAAGCTACATTTCTGGAAAGTGTAAGGGACGTGGAGACACGTCGCTCATCTTTATATACAGTCTATTGTTGCAACACTTACAAATTGGACCCCTACTCTGGCCTCAGTTGCCTTTTCATGATGATGTTTTTATCATCCAAATCAAGTGGACTGTTGTTTTAGTGCCTTGCAGCTTTGGCTTTAACATCGTCACAAGACCCTGATATCATCACAGAGAGGGAGTTGCCTCTCTTGTGATTTGATAAGACTGTTTGTCCAGGATGTATGTTTGTTTCATGTGAAATGCATTATAGTACGAGATGCACACAAAGTGTTGAAAGGATTTTACAATAATTATGACTTTGTGTTGTTGTGGCAATTCTGCAATCCCACTCTGACAAAGAGGAATGAGACAAAATATCTCTTACAGTATTGTCACACTTTAATGCTCAGAGCATGGTACACAAGACAAAGGTTAATTTGTAATATGCACACCGATGGGAAGCTGTTATTTCGCTTTATACATTTGGCTCGTTCCTCCCCCTCTGGTTGAGGTTGTTTCTTAGCAAAAGGTCAGGATCTTCTGATGACATCAGGGCAACAATGCCTTAGTTGAGGCACTCAGGTCAAGATTCAATCAGTTGCACAGGATTCAGCATGATCAAGGTCACATTGTAAAGATTCAGTCATGATCAATCATAGAGGAAATGAACATGAGTACATTCTGCATGATCAACATGTAACATTTCCCTTACAGTGTCTACAGACAGTTTCACCTTATTGAAAATACAGCCATTTAATTTAGGCTGCATCCATACTACTACACGTTAGTTGAAAAACAGATTTTCAAACTAAAATGATCTATGTCCACATGAGCATGTTGGCTCTGTATCACTTTTAATCCCTGTCCACAATAACATTCCTGAAAATGCATATAACATGACCAATCACGTATACTTGGAATTGCTTGAATAACATCTTGTGTCCTACGCTTGTAAGCAGGTGTATCATTTTAAAATACAGATTTTAAATGAACAACAGCTGTCAGCAAAGACAACAGAGTCAGCAACGCCAAGGCTACTGCCAGAAGGGGGTCATGTGAAAAGAGCCAGACAAATCAGCGAAGGCTACACGGTGACCAAAAACACCTCAAACATCTCAGCTTTTAAACGAAAATTGGACTAGCAGCTTTTCCAAACCTCTCTGTTTTACCAGTTTCAGCATGACACAAGGCGTATCCACAGTAGAGGGGATGGGTTTTCAAATGAAGATGTAGTAGTAGTGATGTAGCCTTAATCTAATCCACATAATTACATAAAAATTCAAAAAAATTCGGATGTCCTCCTCTTAATCTTCATCTGTTGCTGCCAATTTATTCAGGCTGAGTTATGGCTGAAACTAACTATTATTTTTACTATAAATGTATCTGTTGATTATTGTGTCATTTCATTGATTTGGTCCGATCATGTCCAAAAATTTGGCCTATTAAAGCTTTTGAGTGATTTACTATCACATAAGACATTGAAAAACTGGATCATGGGGTCATCTCAAACAATAGTAACTGACCCAAATGCATATTTTGCCTTTTTTGTTCTGCACTTTCATCATTCATCTCTTTCTCACCTCTGTAACAGGTAAGAGACAAGACCCTGAGGACGCCAAGAAGTACATCCGCAAAATGTACGAGCAGCAGGCAAGGAAACTTGACCAGACGTTGGAGTGGAAGACTCTTTACCCGCACTTCACCTGCGCCACCGACACCAACAATATCCGCAGGGTCTTCAACGATGTCAAGGACACGGTGCTGCTCAAATCCCTTGAGGAATACGGAATCATGTGAACTTTTACTTTATTTAAATTGTTGGCTTATATGAGCGGAGACTCTGATGGACACCAACGATTCTTTCTAAAGTCCAGACAATCATATCTCCTCCTCCTCTTCACCATTATCACACCTTGATGATGAAGTAGGTGCAGAAAGGGAAGAGATTGTACTCAACGCTGCCACACTCTCTCCTCTCCCTCTCAAGTAGAAAACATGGGAATGTTTTGGAAGGATTTGGCTGGGAGATGCAACAAGTCTGGGTGACTTTTCATCAGGGAGCGAGGATCCAGTCCTTCCTCTCAGCCAACAGCTTTTCTGCCAATTTTGATTTTGTCCTTTTTTGTTTGATTGTTTTGGTTCTTAGTTTTTTTAAGAGTTTAGAATTTGGGTCATGCAGTGACTGAACGAACCCATAATTGAAGCAGGAGCAGAAATGCAATGAAGTGCTGTGCTGCCATTAACAGAGTAATACGTTCTACAAGAGAAGATGATGCCATGCATGGGAACACCACATTTGAAATGCTTTGTTACCATCAAGCACGTGCTTGCACACATACTGCAAAAACACAAATTCTTCCATCATGCCCTGTGTATGGCAATACTGTACATAAGGTCTGTACTACTCCACTCTTTATCCCCACATAGTCCAATGTTTTAGGCCCGGAGTTTGTACACACTGAACACAGTCATCAGGCGCATATACGGCATGGAATGATGGCACTTGGGCGGTCTGCTTCTGTTTGGCGGATCTGGGCCACAAATAATTCATAGCAATACTGTGGGTCAACCAAAGGTGCTAAAATTAGTTTTGTGCTATTAGGGTGATGTTCACCATTTACCACATGGGCCCCTGTAGGTTCACATCTAGACTACACCTTTCCGAGGGCATCGCATTTTCGCCAAAAATGCACGTACACATTTGTTTTGGGATGTTTGGGAGAAGGCCAGAGGTCATTGCCTAATGTGACCCACATCCGTATGCTATCTAGCAGGTACCTGTAGATTGCGCAACTGCCACCAATTGAGTCCACTGTCTATCTCCTAACATTCACCTCCAGTCTTTGTAAAAGTTCACACATTCTTTCTGTGTTAAATGGTTTACTCCGTTAAGTGGATGGATAGTATTGTATTGTATAGGTATTGATTGTATGCATAACCTCCAGTTTTGGGGGTTAAGAGATCTACTTGTTCATGGCTCACACCTGCTCTGGTGCTCAAGACACTGATCTGCAGCCTGCAGTTATTTAAATGATGACAGAGGAATGTCCTGAACATCTAATCCATCAACAGTGTTTCATCATTATTGTCTTACTGGTAGGACGGGAAAGATAAGAATTACAAAAGGGTCTAAAAAACGCCAGAAGTTTAAAAAAATTGATTTGAATTTTAATAATTTTAATAAATTTGTATTGCCTATTACTTTTTTAAAGAATGGATTGCATCATGAATTAAGTTGCTCATTGTGACAAACTATGAGAGAAGCATCACCCTGAATCTATCTTCCTTGCAGCTCTATGTTGCATTAAAGCTCCTATTTTTTTTGTTGCTATTTTCTGGCCAGCAACCAATGTTTTGGTACAAGCAGCAGTTCAAAGAGTTCTTTCACCCACTTTACATTGTCTATAACCAAATGTGAGACATACTCCGTTAAAGATAAGCCTGTAAACAGGCTGAGACCAAAATGAGCTAAAAAGAGTTTCCAGAGCTTCAGAACACTCAAGTCACCAAAATAAAACTGTCGAAGTGCTGTAATGTCTATTTTCAGTGTGACAGTGGGTCATTGCCTCTGTAAAAAGCCTGTTCAGTACTTTTCAACACTTTCCCTACAGCAATGAAGCCAAAAGCAGCTTTTTAACAATATGATTGTAATGCTACATCAACTACTGCATTTTCATTTGAAATTGATTGCAGAGCTGCAACAGCTCTGCAACCTAAAACTTCCTGTGTATAGTGGGGCGCATTAAACACCAGCATGCGCATGCACGTGAGGGGTCACTTCGTATGTTACGTTTTCAAGCATGTTATTAAAACTGCAGAGATTGTCTAGTCGACCCTCTGAGCTGAGTCTGAGAGGATTCTGCAACAGTTCCTTTATCTGTCTTTGGCCAATTTTTTCTGCTAGTCCAGAAGACAATTAATACACTTTATTGAAATCAATATCATAAATTCAAGCTCTAATCACACTTGGTGGCTGACAGGTTTTAAAAGGTCACAAATGAAAAAAAGAGACACTGAGAAAACAGCAAGATTCATGCTGCGAGTTCAATCAACAATGGTGGGCCAAAAAAATCTGCTCTGCTGGCTAAAGGGTAAAGAATATTAATATGAGGTGGCAGTGTGATCTCCTTTTGTGTCCTATTTATATCAGCGTGTGGAGAGGGGAATTTTATATTTGTCCAGAGCGTGAGTTCTACCCTTGTGTGCGTCACTGAGGGTTGAGTGTGTGTTGAGTGGAAAATGACATTGAAATTTAGTAAATTAACTGACCTTGATGGGAAGCTAATATTAGTTCACTGTGTCTGTGACGAGGTTCCGCCTGCTGTTTTGTTGATTGTACATAACATGTTTTGATCTCTACATGGCTGCTTCATGTATGAAGATGAATTAGCTATTGTTAAATCTTTATGTTGCCTTCAAACACAAATGTTTGATTTTACTGTACATTAACTAATGACTACTATACTTTTGATTGTTGTTTGCTGTATTTTAAAAATATTGTTAACCAACATCACATAAACTGTGACTAGAGAAGGCGTTTGCTAGTGAACTTTTGCAATGGGAGACCGCTTCTCATACGGTGACAGCAAATATTTGGCTGTAGATTCGGGTGAAGGACGTGGGCAAATATGTATTTTTCTAGCTAATATTAAAAACAAGCATCTGAACATGCATCATCTGCTTGCTTTTGTCTCTTCCTTGGTAGATGTGGCCAGGGAGTCTATCCATCTGTCTGCGTGATGTGTTTTCTCTTTCTCATACGGACAAGTATGATCTCAAAGGCTGTAATCACACGCTCGCTGTGACCCACAGTTTGCAAATAATACACTGACTGACATGTAGGATATTATAACACAAAGCACATGGTGCGGACCGCGAGAGTCCCTCTATAAACAAAGTCATGAAGGAAAAAGCGTCTCACCAGGTGAGGGGAGTCCAAGCTTGACAGGATCACATGAGTGTTGTTTATCTTGTGATATTCCTTCATCAACTACTGGCAAAAGCAAAACAAACTTTCCAGTCATAGTTTTCACAGAGCTCGACTGTGATGATCCACTGACAACAGCCCGACTGTACCGCTGTACACGCCACATATTTACATATTGTATTATACAGAAACATGCCACAGAGGAATTCCACTGTAATACACACAAATGATCATGCACACACACACACAAGCACGCTATGGCTGATAGTGGCTGTCAGAGCACTGCACCCCAGGAGTGTGAGAGTGTGATCCTTTGGCCCTGTTGATTTTCAGACTCATCCAGAAGGCTTAATATAATTAAGTGTGCGTGTGTGTGTGTGTGTGTGTGTGTGTGTGTGTGCGTGTGTGTGTGTGTGTGCGAGTGTGTGTGTGTATATATGTGCCTGTGCATCTATTCATCTGTGAGTATTGTGAGTACAGTGTATGAGTCAGTATTTTGCAGCTGCATGTACATCTGTGTCAGTCTGTATGAGCATATTTCTCTCTCTCTCTGTGTGTGTGTAAGCCTCAATTTCTTTTGGTCTCTTTGTCTCGTTATTCTTTGTCCGTCTTGCATAGTTTAAAGAATAAAGAAGATAACTTTTGTTTCTACTAAGAGGAAACCACGACGGCTGGTTTGAATCCTCTGCATAAACTGTCAGAATGAGCTCCAGTGTAGGCCAGACTCCCACATTTGATTCCCGCAAAACACGGAGCACCTGTGCTCGGCTCTGATGGGAGCTGAGTGACAGATTACAGGTCTAGCAGCTTGTGTGATCTCTGCAGCCGAGGCAGAGCTGAGATGTGTAACGCAGGTTAGCCGGTGGGCTCTTTAAAAACCCATCTCGGTGCCTGGTGTGTTGCTATGGACTGCCTGTTGCTGATAAGAGCCAGTCAAAGCTTTTCCATTTCACCAATGTTCCTAAAACCAGATACACACCTGCAGGGCACTTATCAAACATAAACCTTGTATACACAGATACACACACAGATTGTCGCGCAACCACAATCACAACAATTACCTGTCAAGATTAGTATATAAAAATAGAACACAATGAAGCCCAACACAAAGCGCTTGCACCGCAAAGCTTATAATATTCACAAAGGTGGCGACGTAAATGTTGTAGTTTGTGATGTTTGGATTGAATCACTACGGATTGTAAGATGCTGCTGTTATTGTGAACCCATCCTTTCCCTTTCACTGTGGAGCTGCACTGTGTTTTACGAAACAGGGCTTTTCAAAGCTCCTGCAGTATTTGGTCACAGAGGAAAAAAAAAGTGCTTATCAGCACATGAAAAGAATCAGTTTGCCAGCATGAATCACCGCTCGCTTTTCCAAAACAACTGCATTTGTCGCAGCGGGTGACCCGTTGTGGGCTGTCTCTACCTCGCTGTGTGCTGCTCCAAACACATGGCTCAACTTAGCACCTGAACACTGTGCACCGACTATAAAATTATCTATATTCTTGTTATAAAACCAGATGTCGTTGGTCCAACTAAAAGTTTGGATGTGTGTGTGTGTGTGTGTGTGTGTGTGTGTGTGTGTGTGTGTGTGTGTCCAATTTTCTCAGAGAGCTTTGGCGACAGAATGAGCAGCAACGACACTGAATAATCATGATCAAAACAAACAGTGGTTGGTAAAACAGTCAACAGGCGAAGTGGCTAGCAGCGTATTTTTTTCCTCATCATGGGCAAAGCCACAATAAAGCAGATGAGACCCAATTAAAATGCGACCAAGGTGAAATCTTCCATTAAGCTGAAAATTTCTGCAGTGGATTTCTCTGGGTTGATTATTGTTGGAAACATTTTGGACGATGTGAGAACAGAAGTCAACAAAATAATAGTTGTTTTCATATACTGGAATGAAGAATTGTGACATATTATATCTTTAAAACAAATATGCAAACAAAACCTGCCTATTCTTTCCTCGACAAATCATCCTCCTTCGCGTGTTTTTGTGGAGTCAGTTTTTTAATCCATACAAATAATAAACACTACCAAATGAAGTTATCACACAAATATTATAATCTCATCTAACATCATGGCTCTGATGACAATAATAGTAAAAGTATGAGGATGAATCGGCGTTAAGTAAGAAGATGAAGAGGAGGGAAAGTATCTCCTCTGTTCCTCTGAGTCCTCTGCTCAACAACACTTAGCTTGGACCGCCTTAATGAGTTTTTGAGAATCTGCTGTAGGGCTTTGGTTTATTAATGCGAGCAACACAAAATGTTCCCAGTTAAAATGAAGATGGATTGTAGCACCAGGTTCCTTCACTGTGGCTCTACTTTTGTCTAAGTCTCTGCCATGAAGACATGAAGGTCATTAAGCACAAGAGAGGTTGCTTTAGTCCCCAGGAGGAGGAGCAGGAGGAGGAGCAGGAGGAGCAGAAAGATAGGAGAACGAGGAAGAAGAGAATAAGGGTAAGGAGGGAATGCTGGAGAAGGATCAGGAGAATGAGGAGGAAGAGCAGAGGGAGAAAAAGCAGAAGGAGTAGGTGGAAGAAGACAAGATAGGGGAGGAGGAGAACAAGCAGGAGGAGCTGAGGGAGGAGGAGGAGGCAGTGGAATAAGAGGAGCAGGAGATGGAAGAAGAGGATTTGCAGGAGGAGGAGGAAAAAGAATAGGTGGAGTAGTAGGAGGAAGAGAAGAAAGAGGATAATCAGGAGATGGAGGAACAGAAGGAAAAAGAAAAGCAGGAGGAAGAGGAGGAGAAAGAGTGGGAGATGAAGAGGAAGCAGGAGATAAAAGTCCTCAGGAGGATCTGATGCTCTAGATTAATCAAATTCAAATTAATTAAGTCATGTTGTGTCTTTAAATTCTGCTTCACTGTGAAAGAGCAGCTGCTCTCTTTTCAATCTGTTTCTCAATAAACCAAAGGAGAAGGATTTTCTTAACTTACTAATAAATTAGCCTGAAAGTGAAAGAACTCTAAATCCCCAAAGATCACATTTCTGAAGTTACCGCTGCATCATTTCCTAATGATCTCCAGGACTTCTCCTGAAAGTCTAATTTCATATGAAGGAAAATAGAGGCTTTGTTCAACATAAATCACAAAAGATGCTAAGGTAACTTATATTAGACTATTATATTCAACCTGCTTTTCAACATATATACTGTGTTTATAGATATATTCCAAAAATATATGAGTAATTCATATGAATTCACTTGGATTTTTATTTCACTCTTCTCCCCCCAAAATTTTATTTCTCTATATTTAGTGTAAAATAACATGGTGGGAGGATTCCACAACAACAACAATGTTGTTTTCATTTACAGAGAATAAATAAATAAAGTACATTTTATTCAGAGCCTGAGTGCATCACAATAAAGACAAACAAAAACACAAAACAGACATTGAATCAGCACGACATCCGAAAAGTCTTGTAAAGCTTCACATAGATAGAAAGTGGCAACATAATACCAACAATTATTTATATATAATTATTAATACAAAGAAAAAGCACCTTGATTCACAAAACGCAGACTAATCAAATGAGTCAGGCACAAAAACACAATCTAACACAAAGGCAAAAAAACATTTTTGTGACGTGAATTTTAACAAGCTGATTCAGAGTTGTGGGTGTTTTTTTGCATCATCCCAGTTTGAGTGAACACAACTAGTTCTGAAGGTAGACCATAGCATGATTACTTATAAAACTTTGAAATCTATTCTGAAACCACTGCCACGTCCGTCAACTGAGCAGTTAGCGTTAGAAAGAGTTCATTTCCACTTTCTCCTGAGGGTACTATGTTTGAAAGGTAACCTCCGGACAAAGTCTGGACTCAATTGAGCGGACATTCTTCGGAATTGAGGTCTGATAACGGCCATGCTGATCATGACCATAAACTGTAAATAATGAAGGGCGACAAGTATCCACTCGCCCCCCACTATCCAGACGAACGCTGCCATCTTGCGCCGAAGATGTTGATCTTGATCGAAGATTTGGAGCAAGAGGGATTGTTTTTATAGCTAACTACTAAAACTGAGAACTACCAATGACAAAAAGCATCTTTGACTTAAATTTATTTGAAGTGTATTTAGATTTTTTTGATTCTCCTATCCACTACCATAAAGGAGGTATACTGCAGCCAGCCACCAGGTGGCGATCAAGATGCTCTGGCTTTAATTTTGAGGAGCCTTCATGTTGTCCGTCTAGTCTATGGTCAAGACCAAAAGAGGGGGTTTATTTCCACTGTTTTACCTGAAAGGATTAAAGAAATACAGTCAGTGAGTGTTCTTTACTGCTGCTGTTTTGTCTTTGTGCGTCCCTTTGCGCTTTTTGTTTCACTGTTTTTTTTTCTTTATCTGTTTTTTGTCACTGATCAATTCATCTAATGGAACACAAATCAAAGGGATTAGAGACTCTGCTGATCATCTGCTCTTAGTTCCCTCAGGGCTTAATTTTATCTCATCTCTCACACACACACACGTTTGTGCAGCTATCCTAATGAGGATTTGCATTGACTTCTATTCATTGTGGACAGCCTAACCAAAAACGTACCCAAACCTTAACCAATCATGCCTAAACTTAACCTTACCCTAACCACTATCCTCATCTGACCTCTAACCTTAACCAGGAGCTAAGAAATTACGTTATGCCTCATTAGTACCAGGCTTTGTTCCCCATGAGTTCTACTAGTCCTGACAAGGTCAGTGTTTATGCTTGAAAAGGTTGTACAGAGGTAACAAAAACAAGCACACA